CCCGCAGCATCCTGGTGTTGCTGCCCACTCACCGCTGCGTTGGGCTCGATGAGCCGGTGCTGCAGGTCACGGGCCTCCTGCCACTGGCCCTCACGGCACAGACGGTCCAGCTGGCACAGCGGGGCCCCCAGGACATTGGCAAGGGCACAGATCCCCCCAGAGGCACCTATGGATACCAGGACACATTGGCGGCCAGCTCAGCACACCAGCCCCTCCCAGGCACCACTGCCCCTCTCCTGACTCCCCCTCCTTGGCTGCCAAGCCAAGGCACTTACCCAGGGCATAGCTTGCCAGCAGGAAGCCAGCTGACCCTGCCAGCACCTGGAAGTCCTCCTGCTTCGTCTTGTGGACCATCAACCCCATGCGAGTGATCTGGGGAGAAACATGCTGTGCCCCAGGGCAGGCATCACCCTGTCTCCCTCCATGGGGATTGTGTGGCATCCCTGGGTCCTGGGGAAGTGCTGCAAGTCCCATCTCCCCATTCCCAGCTCTAGGCCAGGTTTGGTGGCAGTCAGGCCTGGGAAAGCTTTGCCCCACTCACGTCCCCACCGCTGTCCTTGATCCCGACAATGTTGGGGTGCTGAGCCAGGGTGAGGACAGCCTCCAGGGGCAGCTCCAGGCCAGTGTTGGCAGGGACGCTGTAGAGCACCACGGGGATGGGGGATGCATCGGCGACCTGTGGGCAGCCAGGCAGAGCTCAGCAGCTAGAGTGGGTTGGAGATGTGTGGGGTGCGCTGCCCACCCCGCTGCCTCAGCTAGGCTGCTGGCAAGCACCGGGCATGGCTCACCTCCGTGTAGTGCTGGACCAGGGCACTGCTGGTCATGGCCCCTTTGTAGTAGCAGGGCGTCACCACCAGTGCCACGTCAGCCCCTGCCTCTGCCATGCTGACCGTCAGCTTGATGGTGGCCTGGGTGGCTAGGGAGGAGGCAGAGGAGTGAGTGATGCCCAGGGGGACACATATGGCCCCAGCACTGCCCGTGCGGGCACTCACATTCACAGCCTGATCCGGCCAGCAGCAGGCGGTCCCTGGGCAAAGCCTGGCGCACGCAGCTCACCACCTCCAGCTGCTCCTGGGGTGCCAGGTAGGGGTATTCCCCATTGGAGCCCAGCACTACCAGTCCTGAAATGCAAGCGTGGGGAGGGCAGGGCTTGGGCATAGGAGCACAGTGCCCACAAGGTGGCCATCCCTACCCTCTCCACACCCCACCCTCTGGTGGGGACCAGGAACCCAGAACAGCCCTACACCCGCATACAGCAGTCCCCTTGGGCCAGGAGGCTCCTGTAGGTGCCCTGCAAAGCCCTGGGCTCCCCCACAAAAGGCACAGGTGGGTATATGCCCCCAGATGGCAGTGCCCACCTGCACTGCAGTGAGAACCAGCAGTGCCGTCCTTTACCCAAACACCCTCATGTGTGCTATGCAACACACCCTGTGATCCAAGCACACCAGCTGCAACCCTCCATCCTCAGAAACTGCCCCACACAGCACTGCTAGCAAGGCATTTCCTGGTGCCCACAGCCAGGCTGTGCCACCCTGTCCCTTGCCAGGGCACACAGACCCCTTCCTTGGGACCCTCTCAGCACCACGAGTATAGGCTGCCAAGCTCTGCTGCAGCATCCTAAGCTCCAGGATGCCAGGAGGTTGGGATATCCCCACCAGCCTTTCTCCTTTCCTTGCCCCTGGGCACCCAGACAGAGAGCTCTGCAGCCCACAGCGTGTCCTCTCCTGTCCTCTTCCCTGCAGTGCTGGAGTCACAGCCTGGACAGGAGAGGGGAGACCCCAGGACACATCCCCATGATCCACAGACGCTTCCTGCAGCCACTCTCCTTCCATCCATCTATTCTGAGCAATCAACAGATTGCATCCCATGGCACTGAATCCGTGTGAGTGTGCACGGGTGGTGCAGAAGGGTAGGTTAAAGCCTGCAGCTACATGTAGAGGATGTGTGCAAGCTTGCACATGTGTGGAGTGTATATGCAAGCATGCACCAGAGTGTGGTGGGGGTGTGCAAGGACAAATGCTTGTGCCTGGGCTGCCTGGGCACTTGCAGCGCAAAGGGCCCCAGGTGGGTCACCAGAGGGGCTGCCAGTCCTGGACCAAAGTCCAGCTGGAGGCTGAGCACCCTTGGGAATGTGGCAGGCTGCCTGCACGCTGCCACACAGCCCTTGCAGTAGGCAGGGATCTGGCAGGAGCCTGCATGGAGAGGGGCAGCAGGCAGCACTTACCTCGGAAGGGGATGCTGGCGTAGTGGTGCAGGTTCCCTTCCAGTCGGGCATAGTCCACCTCTTGCATGGGTGAGAAGGGGGTTGCAAGGGGCGGGAAGATACCCCCGAGGTCAAGTGTGTCCCTTGATGCTGGGAGGGTGCTGAGCCCCCGGTGCTGCCTGGGTGCTGCCCAGTGCAGAGCTGCCAGGGTGGGCCGGAGAGGTGAAACAAAGCGGGTGCTGAGTGCCATGGAGGACGGGAGCTGCTGCTGGTCGTGCCACCTGCCCTGCTGAGGGGCTGTCAATGATTGACAGGGCACGTGAGAGGCCCACAGCCCAGCTGGTCAGGTGACATGGGGGGTGGCAGTGGGTGAGCTCAGGATGGTCTCTGCCCCTCCAGGAGCTGGACATAGGGGCTCAGCAACCCTCTGGGTGAGCCCCAGCTGTGCTTTCTCTTGGTTTGCTGCTGCGCTTGGTAGAAGTGACCCATTCTGCAAAGGGGCAGTGGCGTTGCCCTGGGGAGTGGCTCCAGCAGGGAAGGCAGGAGAACAAGCTGCCATCCAGCCTTGCAGAGTGGCTACCCAGCAGGGGCACGGCTGCTCCCTGGCATAACCTGAGCCTCCAGCACAGTGTGGATCCAGGCTGAGCTGCCTTTGAAGTAGTCTTCCTCCCTGAACTTGCCCAGGGGAGACTTTGAAGCACTGCAAGCAACAAGGGCTTCCCACAATGAGGAGTTCTGCCCTTGAACCACTGGTATCCTGGTCCCATTGTGTCACCACCGTTCAAGTCCCTGTACTAGGAGGCAGGGCACATCTGTGCTGCTGGGTAACCCAGCTCCTTCAGATAACTCAGCTCCCCAGAAACCCAGCCTGCCCAGCCCCATTGCCCTGGTGCAGACTTCCCAGCACCACAGCTCCCTGGAGCCAAACGCTGCTCATTGCTGGCTTTTATTGACATGGACAAGTCTTGGCTGGATCCTGCTCCTTGGAACTGAGCTTGGTCCTGGGTCTCTGCCCAGGGCTGTCATGCAGGGACCTCCATCTCCACCTGTGGCTGCTCCTTGGTCTCTAGTGCCTGGCGTGTGTCCACCTGCCACTGCTGCACCAGATCCGTTGGGGTCTTGCCAGCCTACAGGATCAAGCAGAGAGAGGCTGGGGTAGCATAACATGGTGGGGCAGCAAATGGCCCCAGTGCTGTCCCTGCCACTGACCTGGTTCTTGGCCATCATGTCAGCTCCGTGCAGGATCAGCAACTTGATGATCTTGTAGCGGCTGAGCCGTGTGGCATCGTGCAGTGCCGTGTCACCTTCCTGCGAGAGACAGGCTGGCTGGGGATCATGGTGCAGCTCCAGGGAGAGGCACCCCCGACCTGTCCCCAGCATTGCTTCCCAGCTCCCCACACACCCACCTCCCCATGGACACAAGGGGGACAGTGCCAGCACCCTAGGTCAGATGCTGGGAGCCTCTGCAGAGGTCACCCAAGGGAGGGGGGATCAGTGTTGCCCCCCAGGCACTGGTTGTGCAGCTGCAGCACTCACCCTGTCTGGGGAGTTGATGTCCACCCCACAGTGGATGAGGTACTCCACAATGTCAAGGTGCCCAGTCCTGGTGGCCACATGGAGGGGGGTGCTGAGCAGCTTGAGCGGGAAGGAGATGGACACCAGAGGACATCAGCACCTACCACTGCTAGCTTAACACAAAGCCAACCCTGGCCCCCCAGGGTATGTCCATGCCATCAGCACAGCCCCATGCCCCCAGGACAGTGCCCCACACACCTTGTCTTTCACGTTGAGGTCTGCTCCACGGTCCTGCAGCAGCTTGACAGCATCCAGGTGCCCACCTCGGCAGGCCCAATGCACAGCAGTGCAGTCCAGCTGGGTGCAGAGCCACGTCATTGACAAGGGTCACCACCACCCCATGGCTGTCCCCTGCCCCAGCTGGTCCCCATGCCTGGGCTGACCCGACAGAGCCCTGCCCGTGACCACCTCAGCAGTGGGGCAGTTCTGGCCCACTGCAGAGACCCTGATCCTGCAGCTGCTCCGTGACCTCACCCGGTCCCTGAAGTCAACAGTGGCCCCACTGTCCAGAAGCTTCTGTAGGATGTCCATGTGTCCCTCCAGCGAGGAGCGGTGAAGGGCTGTGCGGTGGAACTGAGAGGATGAGTCACCACGTTGGTGGCTGGGTCCACTCCCCCCGTGCCACCCCAGATGTACCCCAAGCTGCATCCCAGGGATCCCAGCCCCTGCCAGCAGGCACGCAGGGCACACGCAGGGCACAGGCAGGGGACAGCCACCAGCTGTGGGAGGCACTACCTCGTCACTTGTGTTGGGGTTGCCACCTTCTGCCAGAAACTTCTCAATGACATGCATCTTTCCCTGGACAGCAGCTCTCAGAAAGGTCTCTGGCTCCACGGGACCCTCCTGGCAGTGAGATGGGCTCAGGGCTGAGGCATTGCAGGGGTGCGGGAGAGGGAACAACGTGGGGAGTCCCCAGCCCTGCTTCCAAGGCAGGTCCCCAGCTGGCGGGGTGACCCAGGGGCTGGTCTGCGGGGTCTACAGGACGTGTCTCGGCAGCCCCCCTCCCACATCCCAGGACTCCCCGGACATACGATCTCCAGGGGCTGGCGCTGCCGGCGCTGCTTGCGGAGCTCGATGAGGTGCTGGATGCTCCCCACGTCGATGATCTCCCGCCGCAGGTCCACCGAGCTCTTCCGCACCCGCTCCTGGCCCTGGGGGGCAGACGTAGCACCCCATTCGCCTTTTCTGTGCTCAGCCATCCCCCAGCTCCCCCCACACCTGACACCGTCTCACCTTGACAGCCTCGAGGCCCCGGTTCCTGGGGCCGCAGCGTTTCTCCTCCTCCAGCTCGGGTGTGCTCATCCGCTCCACGGCCAGTGGCTCCCGCACACCATCCCCTTGGAGAAGCTGCACGGGCACAGCGGGCTGCATGGTCTCAGCCCCACCACCTCCATCCCCAGCCCCCTGGTGAAGGTGACTCTGGGCACAGTTCACAGCCCACCCTGAGGTTCCTGGGATGCCTGTCAGCCCTCAGGCTTGCACTTCCCTGCTTGCCCTGCTCAGCAAGCTGGGCACTTGCCTGCTGCTCTGCAAGAGCTCCTGAGTTGGCAACCTGATGCCCCTGAGAGCCCGTGGCCACCTTGCTTCATCCCCAGGATGGCAGGGTCAGTGCCAGCTGCCTTGCACCCGGACACTAAGGATGAGCACAGCACACAGCAGGTCCCGCCACAACCCCCTGCCCTATGGGCCCACCTTCTCTTCTTCCTCCGCCAGCTTCTGCTCAATGAGCTCCTTGGCCTTTTGGACATCCAGCTCCATGTTTGCCTGTGGTTCACAGCCCCGTGCAGGATGTGGCCTCTCCTCCTCACCACCACGGGCAGGGAGCTCCCGGTCCAGACTCCCGGTGCTGCCGGCGGCTCCGCTGGCCGTGGGGCTTTATGCTGCCGGCCCCTCCGTCCCGCAGCCCAAGGGCACCAACAGCTGTGGCTGCTCCACATGACTGGGGCAGCTTTGCCATGAGCTCACCCTCCCGCTTTCTGGTGGCCCTGGCTCACCTCCTTGGCCCCACAGCCTCTTAAAGAGACCCACCATTCCACCCCCCATGCTGCCTCGGACCCCCACGTTGGGTGTGGGGAGCTGCTGTGTGCACAGCCCACAGCAGCCAGGTCGGCAGAAAGGGGATGTGAACCAGCCTGGTGCAGTGGGTCCTGTGCCTCCCACCCTTGAGCAGCCAGGATGCTCCCCATGGCTCCTAAAACCCCATCCCCATGCAACCAGAGGCTGCAGCATCCATGGACGCTACTCAATGGTCCCTAGCGCCTAGGGAGGGGTGTTGCTGCCCACCCCAAAGGGAGGCAATGGGCTCCCTCAGATGTCTCATCCAGCAGCATGAAGCACGTGTTGCAAGGAACTGTGGCCCCTCCACACAGCTTTGGAGGATGATCTCAGGTGTAGAGCGTCCCAAGCAGCCCTGCCAGGGTCCCGGCAGCTGCCTGGCCTCCCCTACCATGCACAGGCAGCCTGGCAGCAGGACCAGCCTCACGTGGGGTCAGTGGCCAAAGTCAGTAGCTATTCCTGGCAGCAGGGACATTGTGCAGCCCCCTTGGGCTTTGCTCTCCCCCTTTGTAAGATGAGGACAGTGCTGCACTGTGCTGGAACAGTTAATGCGCTGGGCTCCCAGCACAGAATCTGGGGGAAGGACAGATGGGGACACGTCACTGTCACCTTCATGGCCAGCTTTGAGTGCCCTGTTCCATGAGTTCCACAGAACGCACCCTGTTCACCAGGACAGGCAATGGTGGCCACAAAGGTGGTCTGCAAACTGTCCTGCTCCATGGACAATCCTGTCTGGCCCTCAGGGAAGGCACAGACTCCAAAGGGAAGCACTGTGACGGGGACATAGTGGCTCCACATCAGCAAGCAGTCAGAATGGCAATGGGACAATGCCAGCACAGCTGTTGAAGGGTTCAGGCCAGCAAAGAGGCAGGGCTGGAGGGACAGTTAAGATGGCACTGGGGGAGCAATTCTAGGGCACTCAGGTTTTCTCAGCCACCCTGTGCCCACTGTAACATGGGAGCAGATGTAGAACAGGCAGAGGGACCTGCTGTGGCTGCAGATGACAGCCCCCCAAGCCTGCCCCAGGAAGGATTAAAATTCTTTATTGATAAATACAGACTATGTACAGGGGGGAGACTTCTCCACCCAGCCCAGCACCCCATGGCCTCCTGGCCAGGGACATCCAGAGCCCAGTAGGTCACGATCTCTCCCTGCCGGCACAGCCCAGCAGTGGGGCCCTGGCCATGCTGACCACCCCAGAGACTTTGGTCTCAAACCTCCTGCTGCAAATCCAGCACTCAGCCCATGTCCTCAGTCGAGCGGGGCCATCATGGCAGCACTGCCCCATGCAGACCTTCCTGGAGCATCACCCGGATGGGGGGCAGCCCCGGGGGGGAACAGGGGCTGCCCCAGCTCTAGCAGGGCTGTGATGTGGCACAGGGCATCCCCAGAGGTGCCACTGCCTCCCCCCCACCCCTCCTCTCCCCACAGCCAGTGTGGGGGTGGTTCAGTTCCTGGGCGGTAGGGGCTGGTTGACAATCACTTGCACAACAAAATCCTTCTGGATCTTGGTCTCCTGCAGCCGCATGCGGTCAGTGAGCAGCTTGCCCGAGAAGAACCAGCGCTGCCAGGCCAGGTCAATGCCCTCCTGCGCCTGCAGCTGCTTCTTCAGCTGCCCAATGGTGTCGCCCATGCTGGCGCTGAGCCGCAGGTCCTTGCCCGTGGAGAGACGCACCTTGAGGCCGAACTCCCGGCGGCTGCTGGGCAGGGGCTCGGCCGGCTCTGCCTCCTCTTCGCTCCGCTCCAGGATCAGGTTGACGGGAGGTGCCAGGCAGTAGACAGGCAGCTGGTACCGGTTGCCCAGCTCATCATAGCACTCCGTCAGGGACCCTGGGAAGGGCAGGGTGAGATGCTGTGGGTGGGCACCCTTATGGACCACCCAAATGGGGACAGGGCCACCCCAGGCAGCGAGGCAAAGCCTGCCCTGCCCTCCGTGGTTGGGCTGAGCCATGTGGATGACAGCTGGGAACCCTTCTCCTCTCCAGCCTGGCACCCCCACAACCCCAGATATGGGGCACTCAGCACCCACCCCAGCTGCACTCCCGGTGCCGTCCCTCACCATGGGGCAGGGTGATGCTGGCTCCGTCAAGGATGGCTTGGGCCAGGCTGTGGTCATTGGCCTCCACGGCGTAGGAAGCTGCCTTCAGGGCATCCCAGATCTCCTTGCGCCCCTCAAAGGCGGGTGCTGTGTCCCAAAACTCATCCCGCTTGCTGCGCAGCTGCCCATCTGTCATGGGATAGTCACTCTTCCACTTGGGACGCTCCTTCTTCAGAGGCTCATTGCGGCCTGGGAAAGGGGGGAATGCTCAGCCAAGGGGTCCTGATACCCTCACTTTCCCAACCCCACAGGTTCTTGGGGACCCCTTGGTTCCAAGGGACCACCATGCCCTGCACAGAGCAGTTCCCAATACAACCAAGATGAGCTCTGCTAAAGCTAGAACTGCCCAAGGTCCCACTGGCCCCATAGCAGCTGCCCCCAACACCAAGTGACATCCTTTGAACCCAGGAGGTAAAAGGGCTCTTGCCCTCATGCTGGGCAAAACCAGTTCCTGCCCCACAGGGTGGCCACGGGGCCCTCTGAGGCAGAGCAGTATTTATAGCTTGGGGAATTAGCCAGGAAATAAGCTGAGGACTCGGAGTGGGAAAGGGATTACGGGGGCTGAGCTGCAGCCCTGCTGGGGGGGTGGGCAGGATTTCACCACCCTCTCTGCCCACCCCAGGATGGCAGGGATCAGCTGCAAGCAAAACAGCAGGAACACAGTATCCAGGGCATCAAGAGGGGCAGAGGGCACTGCTGGGGTGGGGAGGCTTCCAGCCCAGAGCAGCCCTGACAATGGGCCAAACTGAGCTGGCTCTCCATGGAACAGCTCCCAACTATGTCCCCGGGGAACCACAGCAGCCAACACTGGGCAGGGGTCTGGGCCACCCCCATGCCAGTCCCACACCAGGCTGCAGCCCCGTGGGAACAGCCTCATCCCATTGGCCCCACGGCTGGGCAGGAAGTGTAGGGCAGGAAGAAGCTGTTGTCACTCCCAGCTGAGCTGGGGACAATGAGTGACAACAGCTCTTTCCTGCCAACCCTCTCCCTGGGGTGGCCAGCCGGCACCCTTCCTGTGGGACAGGACATAGGGGATGAGGAGCCCCAGCAGGGCAGGAAGGACGCCTGTGCCTGCACAGCAACCTGCCAGGCAAGGAGATGCCACAATCCCAGCCACTGGGAACAGCCACCACTGCCAGCTGTGGGTTGAGCCACTTTGTCCAGACAGCTTTGCCTGGGCAAGTGTGCAATGACACAAGGCACTACCAGACTTTTTTGTACCAGCTCCGTCTCATCCTGTCCAAGACCACTGGAGCCAGCACAGCACCCACTTGCCCAGCATTGGACACAACATGTGGCACCCACCCCAGGGGTCCCCATGGGGGGTAGGAGCTCAGCTCCCCCCAGGCTGGATGCTGAGCATCCCTGACGGGCAGCGTTCTGCCCGCATCCCCAGAGGAGTGAGGGCAGCCAGCTGCAGCCAGCGCTGCCGATTCAGCAGTCACGGTGTCGGGCCGGATGGATTTGCAGCACCGCAGGACAGAGCAAGGTCAGAGGCGGCACCTGCCCTGGGACGGTGGCAGAGCAGTGCCCACAGCCAGCCTGAAGGACACGGCCAGGACCACGTCTCCACGCTGCTGCATCCACCAGACTGGGACATATATCCTTGCAGCAGGGACCATCATGCACACTGGGACTCCCAGCCGGCACAACTCCCCCAGCTCCACTCATGGCAAAGGGAAGAGGGTGGCCCAGGAGAGGCAGCAGGATCAAAGGCACAGGGCCTGGCCACGGCAGTGAGTTGAGGACAGACTGCGGCTGCTCTGTGCGGGCAGAGGTGCCCAACAGCCTTGCCCAGGTAGGTAGGGGCTTAAGCCTTGTCTATTTATTGCTGCCACCCAGTTGGGCCCTGCAGCCTCTAATCACCTCCTGCTGCTCTATTCCTGGCCCCTTGTGCAACTCTCTGCAGCAGCACCACCGGACAGGTCTGGCTGCTCTCTGTGCCCGGACTCGAGCCAACAGGATCTGGCCAGCAGCCTGCCCACTGGCCTGTGCCTGCAGCACCCTGCCTGTGGCTCAGCCCCCTGCTCTGCACAATTTTGGGACCCCAGGCAGGAGGCTGAACTCTGGAGGCTCCCCTGTCCCAGGGCTCACTCCCTGCCTGGCTGGAGCCTCGAGCAGCCCAGCCAGCAGGTCCTGGAAGCCAGAGGAGATGCCAGCCAGATGGCACGCAACATCCCTTCCAGCACTACCAGCAGGTCCCTCCTGGTCCAGGCAGGGCCAGGATGCTGTATGCCGCTGACATACCCTGCTCCTCCTGCTGTAGTGGGCTGGACACCCTGGGGACGATGCTACCACATGGTGTGGGGAGTCCCACCAGGGCCTCTCTGCAGGGGGTTGCAGAGGGAGCCAGCCAGGCAGGTGGGTTACCTGGCACAGCCTGGGAGGTAGCTGAGGGGGGCAGGCTAAGCACCCCTCCCCCGCAGGTCCTCCTGTGTTGGGACTCGCCAGCCTGGGGCTGTGTTCCCTCACTGCAGGTCAGGACACCTACAGCCTGGCCACCTGCACCAGGGACAGCCCTGAGAAGGGACATCCTGCAAGCAAGTGGATGACACAGGAGCACTAGGAGGGGACTGAGACCCATCCCAGGAGAGCTTAGTTGGGAGCAAATAGTGGTGATCAATTCGGGGAGTCTGCAGCCCACGGTTGCCTGGCACAGGAAGGGAGCACGCAGATCCAGAAATCCAGCTCTGATCCCTCTGCCAAAGCCCCAGGGTGTGAGGCAACGGCCCCAGAGTCCTGCTGAGCTGAGCTTACCATCAGCTGCAGAACCCTGGAATCGCTGGCACCCCTAGGAAGGCACCTGCTGCTCTGTGGGACAGAGGGCTGGGGGGCTGCAGTTCTGGGGGGGACATCACCCAGCCCAAGTCTGCAAGAGCCCTTGGAGCGGGCGGCACACGGTGGGGACGGCTCCTCACAGGCACAGGCGGACCCGGCAGGCACCATCCCACGGGAAACCTCTCT